ATGTCCTACTGAGAGAGGCTCAAAAAATTCCAAAAGATCACCTGGCGACCGGTCGTGACATTCCTGGCGACCGGTCGTGACATTCCTGGCGACCGGTCGCGTCACTCGTATCTTCATTGTCGTCGCTCATCGAGGCAGGCGACCGGTCGTTTCCTATGTGCGACCGGTCGCTTTCAGGCAGATTCGTTAACGACCGGTCGCTCACTTCTATGCGACCGGTCGTATCCAGGCAGATTCGTTCGCAACCGGTCGTGTCCTCTATGCGACCGGTCGCTTCCTGTTCGCCAGAAATTCCTTCTTCAGGTCCAATATCTTCCACATTTTCTACTCCGAAACTCTTCAATTCACTCCCCATCTCCCCCTGAATTGAAGAGGATGGGGAAACATAATAGGGCACTTCTTCATGAAAGGTGACATCCAAAGTGACATGTACCTTCTGAGTAGGCGGATGATAGCACTTATATCCCTTCTGAGTAGTAGAATAGCCAATGAAGACGCAGCGGAGAGCACAAGGATCAAGTTTACTCCGTTGATGAGAGTAGACATGAACATAAGCAACACATCCAAAAACTTTAGGTGGCAACTTAGAAACGGAGACAGGGGAAACATGGTCACCAAACACATCATGCGGAGTCTTGAAATCAAGAACCCGGCTAGGCGTACGATTAATCAAATAGGCAGCAGACAGAACAGCATGCCCCCAAAGGTGATGGGGAACAGACATATCCAACATGAGTGAGCGGGCAACTTCAAGCAAGTGGCGGTTCTTTCTTTCAGACACACCATTTTGTTGAGGAGTAAAAGGGGTTGTCGTTTGGTGAATAATACTTTGAGCACGGAAGAAAGACGCCAAAGTATTATTCACATATTCACCTCCGTTATCTGTCCGGAATACTTTGACCCGAGCATGAAACTAAGTAGACACCATAGTACAAAATTCTGGAAGGATGGAAGCAACATTATGTTTATTTTTCAGCAAGAAAACCCAAGTAAGTCGGGTACAATCATCAATAAATGTGACGAACCAACGAAATCCGTTCGAAGTAACACGAGCCGGACCCCACACATCAGAATGCATTAAATCAAAAGGCTTTGCAGCTTTACTGTCACTCAAAGGAAACACAGTGCGATGGCTCTTGGCCAGAATACATGTCTCACACTTAAAACTGGACTCATCACATGAGCGAAATAAAGATGGAAACAGACGCTTAAGGTAGCCAAATGACGGGTGTCCCAAGCGACGATGCCATAACCAAATTTGCTGTTTGTCTTTGACACGACAACTTTGAACAGTATTAACGACACGATCACGAACTGGTGCAGAAGGCAATGTCAAATAATATAACCCCCCCTATCCGTTTACCATGCCAAATCACCTCGTGAGTCTTGAGATCCTGAAAAGAGCAATGGGTAGGATAGAAAGTAGCAGAAGCATTCAGTGTATCAAGCAATCGACCAACAGATAACAAGTTACAATGAATATTGGGAACTAATACCGCACGAGACAAGGACAGAGTTGGAGGGAGAGAGATTGTGCCCTCGCCAGTAATTGGAGAGGGCAAGCCATTAGCACTAGTTATGCATGAGTCACGGGTGTTACTAGACAACTCATCAAAAAATTTAGCATCATAAGTCATATGATCAGAAGCACCAGTGTCAATTATCCAAGTATTGGAGCCAGTACCTGGAATAGAGTCAGAAACACGCAAATTTGCAGAAGCAGCAGCAGCAGCAGCACTAACAATGGAGTTATCACCCATGATTGTAGCAAAAACTCAACAAAGCACGCAGAGTATACAACAGAACACAGCACAAACAAAAATACGGCAGATGCACGAAGACAGTAGAGGCATGAACACGACAGAGTACACAGCGGAACACAACAAAGGCACAGACACGTACACAGTAGAGGCACGAACACGACAGAGTACGCAGCGGAACACAGCAAAAGCACAGGCACAAGAACCCTAAAAGAAATTAGGGCACACAGTAGAACACGGGTGGGCACAACACACACAGGTCACTAGAAAGTCGGCACTGATGCCAAGTCAAATAATATGGTAGAATATTTTCTGATATATTTCATTCTCCGAAAGGAGGTATTTATAATACAGGTTACAAACCCTAGTATGGTTTAATTAGGAAATAAGTGGAATCCTAATTACATAATATCTACACAAAAGAAAATAAATAAATAAAACCTAAGTAGAATAGGATATGCTCTACTCGCCAACAGTTTCTCATGTAGAACTTCTCCTCTACAATCTAATCCTATAAAGGAGACTTGGATCCAGCCATTGATTGATGGCACTTTTAATATATATATATATATATAAGTGATCGGAGAAGGGGAGATTCATACACAAATCTTCAAGTGTAAAGAAAAATAATTACTTTTAATTACTTCAACTACATATACAATTTACCACATAGAAAAAAGATCAAAATGTTTAAGCGAGAAGGACTCGCAATGAAAAGGTCAAACAAAATTAGAAGACGATGTGAAGGTGGGAAAGAAAAGTTCAACAAACACCCCTTAGCCATCTAGAAATAGATCTTGACTTTTCGGAGACAAAAAAGAAAAAGCCTGAAAGGTTCTATCAGATATCAGATACTTGGGGGTGGATGCATGTACACCATAGCATATGAGTGATCGATAATGCGACACATTTATCAGGCACATTATTTCCACAAGATGTCAATGTGACTTTATAAAAGCAAAACACAAAGCTATCAAGTCATTGTTGGTGCACGCGTCGTGACCCTTTTTGTTCATTTGTTTCTTGCTATTCTATTCTCTAAAGAGCCAATCTTGTTATGTTATTGGTATTTGGCGATGCTTAATTATTTGTTTTTCATATATATGTGAGCATGTAATATATTTCTTCAAATTGAATCTTCATGACAGGCATGATGAGTTTACAGTAAAGTAAATTAGGTGAGTTCTACTTCTTTGTGATTCATCAATTAGCAGGCTCAAACAATAAAGAGGACGACCTAACTTGAATTAGAAAACAAGATATCTCAATAATAATGTTATATAGAGAGAGATTGCCTTGTTTTGAAGTTTGCCCCACCCCTCTGAAGGAACTAATTGTATATTAATATTAATCCCTCTCACCATCCATATCATCTCTTGTTAATTTCTCAATTATCACCTCTATTTTTTTATTTTATTTTTCACTTGCAAACTGTGTGCAATCGAAGATAAACCTAAACTAAGGTTATAAATATAACCAAAGCACTACTTTGATTGTTTTTTTTCTTTCCTTTACAGAAAGTTCAAATGTGCCCAAAATTCACGAGAATTTTTTAGTATTTTATGGCAGTGTGACCATCACACTAAAAATTTATTGTTTTATGGGAGTTCAAGCATTGGTCGAGAAGTCTATATTTATAATAAATAAAACATCTTGAAAAGGAGACTAAAAGTCTTAGTTGTGTTTAATAAAAATTCAAAATTTCCCAAAATTACACACCTTCTACTTGGGGAAAATTTAATGCATGCACCGAATGACTAGTTATATATATTTAATCTTTTTCTCTACACATATGAAATGTTGTAAATATAGGACACGTGCGTGCATGTTATGAATGGAAAGTTATATACAATCGGCGAATACAAATATTGTTTTTGGGGAACTAGAAAAATAACAACCTAATTATTTCTTTAATTAGAGCTCTAGTAGCTGGTCCAAGCAAGTTGTAGGTGAAAACTCTTCACTCACTCATTTTGATGAACAGAAGCTTGTTAGGTGAAACTAGACAAATAAGAAACGCGGCTGCATAACCTAAACAGCTCAAAATCCTACTCTATAAGGCCAAGTCCAGCGGGAGCACAAACCCGGGCAAAAGGCAGCCCAGTCAAGCCAAACAGGCCTCCAGCGCGCAGCCTCAAGCCCGGGCAAGTGGTGGGTTCCACCAACCTGGGCAAGCCCACGGGCAGATCTTGCCTGGGCTGCAGCCCGAAGGCGCTGACGCCAGCGCTGATGTCAGTGAGCAAAAAAATTCAAAAAAAATCCAAAAAAAATCAATTTTTTTATTATAAAATATACCAACAAATTATGGATGTTTTCCCTATAAATACATAACAATTTTATTCACTTTCTAAATTGTTTATATTTTGTTGCATAATCTTCTTTTTTTTCTTGCCCTTGCCCTAGCCTTCATGGGTGGAACCAACTAAGGCAAGGCTGCCACTATTCACATGAATAGTGGCAGCCCTTGCCCTTGCCCTAGCCTTCATGGGTGGACTTGCTCTAAAGGACAGACTAGACGGTGGTATTACTATTGGACCTCATGCTGGCTCACAGCATGTAATTTATCCATATTAATAATTCGTGTAATTAATGATGAATCAATTAGGAAATAATGGCCAACAATAATTATTAGTGCTTCCCCAAGATGGTGATTGTGCTAAAGGAAATTAGGTAACCAAGCCAGCTAAATGTATGCCCTTGGATATCAAACTCTTTAGTAAGCTAGTGTAAGAAAACTTGAATAGTGAGAACATTTGAATCCAAGTATGTTAACCAAATCACATTTCACGAGTGATTTGGTATTTCTCGATCCATCTTTTAATTTCCAAGATTTATCTCCAAAACAAATCATTCAACCATTAATGATTTACTATTTATCCGAATTTTTATTTTTTTAAAAAAGTTTAGTAGGACCTAGAAATTCCAAAAATTCCAAAAACCACCAAACTAAGCAAAGTGAAAAAGATATCTCGTACGGAGTCACCACTTTGGCCAATACTTTACCCTTTACGGACCGACCCGGTGTGAGTGGGGATTAGTCTGGGTTGTGGTTAAGGCTTAAAGGTGCCACCCATAATTGGGGCCCATCCAGGACCACCTCATGGTTTAGACCAAAAAAAGATAAAAAATTATTAAAAGAAAAAACTAAAGACAAAATAAAATGAAAAAGACATTTTTTCTAGATGATGACAAGAAAGTAGAAACGTCAAAGGGAGGTCTAAAAGTCCAAAATCCACCAAATCAATCTTCAAAATACCCGTCATATCCTTCTCCCTCGTCTCTTCTTTATTTGGCAAAATCTCTCCTCAGAGTTCCCAACTTTCCCACCACCGAATCGACCGACCTGTATAATTAAATCCCTCCCTCCACCTCCTTCCACCCGGAGAAAAAAAAAACCAATCTTTTTCTTTTTCAAAACCCCTTGATTTTCTCACCAGCCAAACAGCCCGGAAAAACAGAAAACCAACAAAACAAACTCCCTGCATAGCCTTTACATATCCCCCATTTCCACCCCAAAACACAAACCCTAACCCTAATTTTCTCACCCCCTGCAAAGAGAAAGAGGAAATTAGGGTTTTTGGCGAATTGGGCAATGTCACAGCTGAAGCCAATCTCACACCTTGATAACATACCCTCCACTCCCGGAAAGTTCAAGCTTGAAAAATCCCAGCCCTACATTCACCGCCTCAGGTTTCACACCTCGCTCTCCAAGCTCACTCTTTGGTCCTCGTTCTTTCTCGTCTTCATTCTCTTTTACTACGTCCTCTCGTCGCCTTCGCCTTCTCTGCCTTCTCGCCGATCCCTAAACGACTCTTGGGGCGGCCCGAGTTGGGAAAAACGGGTCACCCGCTCGGCCCAGAGGCGATCGAGCCATGGACTCACCGTCCTTGTTACCGGCGCTGCAGGCTTTGTCGGGACCCACGTTTCGATCGCTCTGAAGCGCCGAGGCGACGGGGTTTTGGGTCTTGATAACTTCAACCACTACTACGAGCCTCAGCTCAAGCGCGACCGCCAGAAGCTTCTAGAACGCAATGGAGTATTTGTCGTTGAAGGGGATATCAACGACTCGTCGTTGCTCAAGAAGCTCTTCGATGTTGTGGCTTTTAGTCACATAATGCACCTTGCTGCACAAGCTGGGGTTCGATACGCAATGCAGAATCCAGGGTCTTATGTTCACAGCAACATTGCTGGGTTTGTGAACATTTTGGAAGTCTGTAAATCAGTGAATCCACAACCGGCGATTGTCTGGGCTTCTTCTAGTTCGGTTTATGGGCTCAATTCCAAGGTACCCTTTTCGGAGAAGGATCGAACTGACCAGCCAGCCAGTCTCTATGCGGCTACAAAGAAGGCTGGAGAGGAGATTGCACATACTTATAACCATATTTACGGGCTTTCGATTACTGGGTTGAGGTTTTTCACAGTTTATGGACCTTGGGGAAGGCCTGACATGGCTTACTTCTTTTTCACTAAGGATATTTTGAAAGGGAAGCCAATTACCATCTTTGAAGCGCCTGATCATGGTTCTGTGGCCAGAGATTTTACCTACATTGACGATGTTGTAAAGGGCTGCGTGGCGGCATTGGACACAGCGAAGAAGAGTACAGGGAGTGGTGGGAAGAAGGGGGGTCCGGCTCAATTGAGGATATTCAATTTGGGGAACACGTCGCCGGTGCCAGTGAGTGAGCTGGTGAACATTTTAGAGAAGCTTTTGAAGGTCAAGGCTAAGAAGAAGGTACTGCCAATGCCGCGAAATGGGGATGTCAAGTTTACACATGCCAATATAAGCTTAGCACACAAGGAGCTCAGGTACAAACCAGAGACTGATTTGGAGACAGGGCTGAAGAAGTTTGTGCGGTGGTACCTGAGTTATTATCCCGGGTCTGGAAAGAAAAGTTCCTGGTGAATTTTCTGATTCATATTGTGCTTTTAAGTCACTGTACTTGTTCTTAGCATTCATTTACATATGTCTCCACCCGTTTTGCAATCTTGGCACCATCGCTCGTGATACTGTTATAAGAAGATGGATGTTATTCGTTGAGGGCTTTCCATTGCAGGGTATACCTGAGTTGTACCAAGAAAAAAAACTGGAGGCACCTCAATTGTTTTTCCACATGTTGGTTCATTTGTTTCTTTAGGTTGTTCATTTTTAGTTTTCGCTGTACAGCCCTTGACTCATAGATCAAAGCAATTTGCTGATTGGTGGACTTTATTTTTGTCTTTTAATGATTTCAATAAATAAAAACATTCATGCATTGGGCTTTTGAATTATATTTATTAGTTGATTGACATTTCAGTTTCACCTCCAGTTTTTTTATATTCAGAATGGTTTCTGGTCATGATTTGGAAATATTTGATACCAAGTGTTTCTCTTGTATTCTTGCTCCTAATGTTGAATGATATTATTTTGTGCCTGCTTACTAAATGGAACTACTGTAATTGGATGTGAGATAGTTTCACATTGATGTTGTTGGATTTACTTTCACACTGGTATGGATGATAATGCTTTTGATTCTCCTGCTATACTAGAGCTCATGCAATTGTGGCATTGTGTCCTATGGCATTAGGGGTCATTGATGTGTATTGTCATTGCTAGTGTATAGAAAAATGGTCATGAGGTTCTCTCTTACACAGCCTCACAGCTCATACTCAGCTACTTCATTGCTGTTTTGTTCTTGTGTCTGCATAGCAGTTTATATGCAGTTTGCTTGTTCTTCACTCTTGTAGAAAGGATTTCGTTGTGTCCGTGGATTTTTTTCTATTCCTTTACAGTTATGTAGGTTATATTCTCTATCCTGCCAGTTTTTAAATTTAAACACATCAATCCTGCCACTTCGTTACAGGAACTAATGAGTAGAGATAAAGTAGAGGAGCTTACTGCTCAACAAAAACAAAAACGTACATTGAAATTTATTAGAAGTAGATTGCAAAAGAATTGTCTTGGGAAGTTGAGAAAAGTATTGTTTCAGAGGTTAGGCAACGCTCTGGTGCATTTTCAAATATTTGGTTGGAATTCTCAATCTACAGATTTCTTGTTTCCCCTGTTTATTTTTCAAACCAAGTTTTTTGGTCATCTACAATATTTGGGAAGGAGGGATTTGAACCAGGGACAATCTATTTGGAGGAAAGGTGTGACAACCAATTGGGCTAATGCTTGTGGTCGCCATTCCTTAACCAAGTTTATTAATTTGAAGTTGCATGCTGGGTGGATGGCTTTGAGGATTAGGATAAATTCCTTGGATTTCTTTCTATTCCTTGACTGTTATGTAGGAATATTGATCTATTGTGCAGCCTCCTTGTGTATTTCTAGATGGGTAGAATTCTGTTAGATTTATTAGAAAGTACTTGAAGCTCACTGAAAGTTTATGAATGATAATTGGATGGGCAATTCCAAGCCTATCTAGGCACCGAATAACATATAGGAGGAGGTCCTAGTTCAAAACAAAAGGTAAAATTTCCTCAAAATCATGAAAGAATGCGGTGTTTGTCGGTTGTGTAAGTTGGCTTGGGAGAGGGAGAGGGAGAGGGGGAGGGTTTTGCAGGTCATGGATCCTTGGTCAAGTACCCGGATCTTGAAATGTTTTTGCTATCTTTTTAAACTTGAAAACATGTTGGACATATATTATTCTCTTTTCATAAATTGCTGAGCACATTGCTCAAGTATGTTCCATCTATGATACTTGCTTTTTCTTGGACGGATAGCGCACTAGTTTCCCCCTTTCTAAGCTCTTCCATTCTGTACAAACAATAGCATTGGCAGATGACTCCCACAAGTTTGAAATTTGTCTGGATTGTGTTTCAATTTTATATGCTTACAAGTGACACTCATGTATGTACCTGATACCTTATTATGAGTGAAAATTGCAGCGTTCAAGTGCTTTCAGTTTTTTCAGACCCAAAAAAGAAGTGCTTTTACGTTTTCACCCTGTTGTTTGGGGTTTTAGGTTGGTGTGCTAGGGCTTGTTAGAAGTTGCTGATCATGTAGTTAGCTTTAAAGAACATAACTTCCTTTCCATTTTCTCACCCTGGTGAGGAGGGAACATAACGTCTTCTTCATTTTCTCCATTGGCTTGCTACTGCTATCATTTTGGCTTTGAGAGAAACAGGTACTGAAGATCAACATGGGTTTTGAGTATATCTCGTTGGCTACTAATCTGACATTAAATTCTCCAATCTCTATTCTTTTTCTCCATTACCAGCTTAAAGTTTAACCCAAATGGAATTCTAATCTCTCCGTCGATATCGGACTGGATATAATCGAAACAAGCTACTTCCCCAGCAAAGGGGGGAAATATACAAAACAATCAGCAGAATACAGGATACAGGGCTTTGCTCTCTCTCTCTCTCTCTCTCTCTCTCTCTCTCTCTCTCTCTCTCTCTCTCTCTCTCTCTCTCTCTCTCTCTCTCTCTCTCTCTCTCTCTCTCTCTCTCTCTCTCTCTCTCTCTCTCTCTCTCTCTCTCTCTCTCTCTCTCTCTCTCTCTCTCTCTCTCTCTCTCTCTCTCTCTCTCTCTCTCTCTCTCTCTCTCTCTCTCTCTCTCTCTCTCTCTCTCTCTCTCTCTCTCTCTCTCTCTCTCTCTCTCTCTCTCTCTCTCTCTCTCTCTCTCTCTCTCTCTCTCTCTCTCTCTCTCTCTCTCTCTCTCTCTCTCTCTCTCTCTCTCTCTCTCTCTCTCTCTCTCTCTCTCTCTCTCTCTCTCTCTCTCTCTCTCTCTCTCTCTCTCTCTCTCTCTCTCTCTCTCTCTCTCTCTCTCTCTCTCTCTCTCTCTCTCTCTCTCTCTCTCTCTCTCTCTCTCTCTCTCTCTCTCTCTCTCTCTCTCTCTCTCTCTCTCATTAATGCTCCCCCCTTTTTAAACAGACTTTTTCACTCAATCACCAAAAGATCAGCATTTAGAGGAATCAGCATCAGAGTCAAGCTCCCACCATCTGCCACTAACATCCTTCCCCGAATTGTCATTCACTCCATCAACAATACCTTCAATTTCCTCATCCTCGCTTTCACCATCAACCTCATCATCCCAGCTATTCACACTTTGCTCCTCATCTGGCTTGTATGTCCACTCCAATCTCTTCAACACATCACGGTCTTTCCATTTCCCCACAACTGACACCGCCTCCTTCTTCGCTTTCCCGATTAGAATTTCATTCCAAGAAAACCCCGAATCCGCAGCCCTCTTCAGAGCCCCGTCCCCAAAATCCCCCACAACCACTGTTTTGAGACATCTCAGCTTGGCCTCCATCACAACATCCACAAAATCCGAATCATCCGACACAAGCATCAAACACTCAGCTCTCTTGTGATCCATCATATCCACAATGTGATTCCTTAATGCAGCATCCACCCTCTGAGGGTTATCCACCACGCTCCGAACCCAAAACCCTGCCCGCTTCACCTCGTCCGCCAAACCCCTCCCCGCCTTGGGTGTCAAGACATCCCTTGCACCATTCTTGTACTTCTCCATCTTCATTGAATACTTGCCCACCAGCTTCACCCTCCTGCTCCCTCTAGCAGACTCAATCTGGTTCAACCTCTTCGCATGCTCCCTCTCATGAATCTTGAAATGATTCAAAAGCTTCTCATTAGTATAAAACCTCCTCCCGCAAACCCTACAAACGTTCAATTCACCATCCCTAATCACAACCCTGTTCCTCTCTTTCCTTTCTCTGACAACCTGTGGAACATAATTAAGCGCATGGCGGTTCGCATACGCTATCATATGGCGAACGAGCCCAAAAGACGAAGCCGCCGTCTTGAGCTTGACGGCGGCTTCGTAGGGCGACACTGATTTAGGTGGTTTGGTATCCAAATCCCAGAAAATCGCAACACTGTTTTCTACAATTTTCTGGGGTGCCAAACATGATGATGGGCTCGAAGAATTAAAACCCAGCTTCGATTGAAAATGGAAATATCTAATGAATAGGGTAAGTGGATTTAGGGTTTCTAACCTTTTGGATTGAACTGTACAGAAAATTGGGGGAAATTTGAGATGTTTAAGCATTACCAGTGGTTTCAAATATTGGAGTCTTGCAAATTTGCAAGACAACAAAGCTTGACCACTGTGATTGTCGAGTCAGATTCAAGAGAGGCGGTTTCTAGCCTCAACCGTTTGATTGCAAGGGGGCGCTGGAAACGGTTCGATTGCAAGAGGTCGCCGAGTTCGGCTCGTATGAAAGTCGCTGGGTTTTTAGCGGGTTTTTCCTTTCTATTGGTAAACATGATTTTTAAAACCCCATTTTACAAATTTACATTTTAAGACTAAAATATAATTAAATATTTATGTTCCCTTCTATCTGTTCCTCTCTAAACCCCCAAAAAAAAATTGTTGTTTATATTTAATTTTTCTTTAACCAAGATGAGTTTTTTTTAAAAAAAAAATTAAATTAAGTACAGAAAAGCGACTTGGCAGACATTCCATGTGTGTAAGAGAAGGAATTGTTTTGCTTGAACTGGAAAGTTTTAGGGCCCATTCGATAACGTTTTAAGGGGTTGTTGCAAAAACACGTTTGGTGGCCAAAAACAAAAAACATTGAGAATGTTTTCATAAAATAAAAACAAGTTCATGTGTACTTGTAAAAAGTAGAAAAAAGTTGTTTTCATTCTCATGGGAAACGTTTTCATAAAAATAACTCACATATTATTATTTCAAATTGTACTACCAAACACGTTTTCATTATTTTTGTTTTCTAAAGATGTTTTCTAATTAATCTATTAGATGCATTTTCATTTCCTGAAAATGCAAATTCGTTTCTTGTTTTCATTCTCTAAAAATATTTTAAGAAAACATTCTCCGAAAACGTTACCAAACAGGCCCTTAACATTCTATATCAAGAAATTTAGAAAAATTCTTTTAAAAAAAGCTTGTAACTCAAGTGATTATTCTTTATCTTTGAACTCGAGATTCTAGATCCAATTTCTCCCTCCTCCAATATCTCTTGTATAAATAAAATTAAAAAAATAGGACACAAGCAAAATAAAATTTTAAAAGAAATGAGATTAAGAGAAACAACAAGAATTCAATTAAAAACCAAGAACAAAAAATGAAAAAACCAACCACAACCACCAATCATGCCTAATACTTAAAATGACCTTGACGAGCAGTTGAAGATGATCAACCATTGACTGTCATAGAGGGGGCCCATCCACGTGGCTCTCCGTCTCATCTCCTACTGGTCATTCCCAAAATTAAATTTCGAAGAAATTCGAAAGAACAACCAGGACAAACAACCAAACCAAATACACAGAAATAAATAAATAAATATAAGGAATAATTATAGAAAAATAGACAGAGAGATCGATCAATAAGATCAAATCGAATAATGGGTATGTGATATGGGAGGGTTTGAGCACAGAAACTAGCAATGAAAGGCGTCAACTCGGCGCCCGGAGATTACATCTACTTCAAGTCCCAGGTCCCTCTTCACAAGATCCCAGTACGTTCTGTTTACCTCTACTTCTCAATTACCCGTTTGATTTTTTTTCCCTTTTCTTATGATTGTGTGCTTGAGTTTGATTAACTTGGTTCATTTTACAGCTGGGTTTTTAATTGTTCTGGGTTTAGTGTCACATTTTTTAAATCAATTATAAAATTGTTGCTTATTTTGTGCGTAGTTTTGAAATTGTCAGCACTATAGGACATGGGTTTTGTAAAGTTTGTGAATTTTGATGTGTATGTTATTATTTTTCTCAATTGTGGGTTTTGCATGCGGAGCTTCTTGTGTATGTATCCCTTTCTTTTTTCAGCTATGAAGCTTTGTGCTTAATCAACTGTAGGGGTGCTGATAACTAGTTGTCTGTCTGTTTCTTATTACTTAATGAATGGAGTTTATATTGAAGTACTTTGTATGCAGATTGGCACAAAACAGTGGCGATACTATGATTTTGGCCCAAAAGCAGTACCTCCACTTATTTGTCTTCCCGGAACAGCAGGGACAGCTGATGTCTGCTACAAGCAGATCATGTCGTTGTCCATGAAGGTAGTTGGTTGGCTTTTATGTTTTCTTCATTGTATCTATCACAAAAGTCTTGGAAAAGCATGAAATACTTTTATCTTGGTTTTCTTTTCCTTGATACGCACTTAGATTTTAGTTTGAAGTTTTCATGGTCCATAGGACTTACATTTTGGCTGTTTAGTTGTTTTCTTTTTCCTGGAATCATTAACTTTCAGGTAGTGGCGATGTTTTGGGGTGAAAATTTTGATTCTGTGCATATATATATGAGAAATATTTTTATTCCCAGGATTGTGCTTCCCAAATGAGTAAGAAGAGTAAGAAGAAACAAGCTCACATATAGGTAAAACTGTTGGGCCTTGATTGTCTCAGCTGAGATTAACCACTATCAGATTATCACAGTTGTGACGTTGAATATACCAGTTAACTGTCCCTGTACTGATTTATAACTTCTTATTCATGGAAGAAGGGAGCTCCTATACATAGTTCATCTTACGTATGGGAATCTATGAGGAATATGTTTGACCTCTCCTACCATATGTACGAACTTCAGTTTTGTGGTTACTAATTTCCATATGTGGATGAGTTACTTCTTCAGCTAGACTTCAGACTTTATGTTTTGGTGTCTGTTGAATATGTTTGATCTCATATACTTGAAAATTTTCTTGTCTAGCTACTGATTTCCTTTTGTTTCCTTTAAGTGGATAAGTCAGTTGTTCAACGAGACATTTAAGCCTTAACTTTTATTGTGTTGCCTTTACAGTTGTACCTGGTAACTCTTCTCAAGTTCTACTTAATGAATTCATACGTTAATATTAATAAATTTATAAAATTTGCAGGGTTATCGGGTGATTTCTGTTGATATTCCACGTGTATGGAATCATCATGAGTGGATCCAAGCATTTGAGAAATTCTTGGATGCTATCGATGTTCATCATGTAAGCACTCCATTTTCTGACAGTGTACTTTACTCATGCCATTATCATTCTCATTGGTCAGTATCTCTATTTGGTTGCACTGAAGGAATTGCTAATTTTCTTAAAGCACAAATAGCTTTTACATTCTAAATTGTAATTTTCTTTAGGAGCCGCCCAAGTGCTACATATAGCTTTCAGTATGTGATTAATGACACTTTATCTGTACTTAATTATACTTTATGATATTTGAGTTCAAGAAAGATGCACCTTCTAGTTATACTGTTAGCAATTGTTCGGTTTAGGTCCGACGCTTCACGAATCAACACTCTCCAGTGATGTTGAGACTATCAGGCTACAGCTTATTTGCAAGATGGAAAATAAAACATTCTGATTGCATTTTGTCCCATGCCCTCCTCTCACAGATGAACTATTAAGTAGTTCTCTGATTTCTAGCTTGTGGGTAGTTGGGTAGGATATGATTCCAGGTCTACATTAAAGATTTTCTCAGTGTCTAGGCTGCCATATAAGAGACAGATAACATTGTTGTTTTAGTAAATTTCTTACACTGCAATAATTTACACTGAATTATACATCAAGATTAATGAATTGCTTGTAGAGACAGTACATTGATGTAACTAACTGATCCTCAAAGAAAAGCACTGTTCTGGCACCGTTATATTTTTTTATTTCTACTTTTAGATTAGATCATTGAATAATAGATGATTTTCTGTAAATGGAATGCATATCCAAATGGATGAAATGTGATCAGAGATTATTGTGCGGAAAGATGAAACATGCTGTCCATGACAATTTAGATCAGTTACTTGAAGAATGTGCTTTGCAACAGTGAATATAGATGCTTGATATATAACTTGAACAAAGTGTGAGATTGTCTAATCGATGTTAACACATCTTCTCATATTTGTGGTGGCACTAGTTAATAATAACTTAGTACTTTTTTCAGTGATCTAATCAATCTCTTTCTAACAGATACATATTTATGGTACATCCCTTGGGGGCTTCTTGGCTCAACTTTTTGCTCAGCATCGTCCAAGACGAGTTCGATCATTGATACTATCAAACACATTTTTGGACACGCGCAGTTTCTCTGCAGCAATGCCATGGGCTCCCATGTATGTTTGTCGTATTTGTACTTGAGCACTAATCAGTATAGATGGAGATAATCAGATATTTAGTACATTGGTGGGTCCCATTACTTGGAGCATTGATAAAACTACAAACATGCTGTTATTTTTTGTGAGAAATCCAAAAATAGATTAGATGGTAATTCGGTTAAGTTGTCTCACAACAGGTTGGTGGTTAAGCTACTTACTTCTGCATTGTATTGTACAGTGTGCTTCTTTATAAGTTCTTAGACCTTGTATTGACCTGGAAAGGGTTGTAATGGTCTTTGCTACTGCTTGATGTTTCTTGATTGGCTTTTTAGAGTTCATTTCTCTCTCGCTTTTTCCTTTTTTTGTTGTTGTTGAAATAGTTATAAGGAACTTCAAAAAAACAAATGATGATATGGTTGCTGGAATTAAGAATGACTTTTCTATTTGAGGAAGAGTGAATAGAAGAACTTTTCATGATAGTATCTTCTCTAGATTCGTTAATTATATAATTTGACATCAATTAGATTCATGTCTTACCTTATAAATGTGCTGCTGATAACAATAAGGTGCACTCAGGCCCACCAATTATGAAATCCCACATGATATTTAGCCTAAACTTCTTCCTTCCATCAACTGGTTTGCATTCCAATTAGAAAGAGGGTCAACTTAAGGGATCATGTTTGTTGGAACTATTTATCCACCCTTCCTCGTGGCTATTTTTGTTCGATGTTAAAAATAAATTATTTACCGCAAGGTTCTGCAGTGACTTCACTTTTTAAATAAAATGGGTTACAGGTGTGTGTGGGTTGAAACTGTTGATTGGATGTGATATAATGTTCCTTGGGATTTTGCATTCTCTTTTTATTGTTACAAGTTGTGTACTAGACTTATATAGTTTTTGGCTCAGAGTTCTTGAATTCGCTTCCAGTTTTCTTTTGTTTCTACCGAACAACTTGCCTGATTATGGTACTGTCTTATGCAGCGTTAGTTGGACCCCTTCTTTTTTGCTGAAAAGATATGTCTTGACCGGAATTCGTGATGGCCCCCATGAGCCATTTATTGCTGATTCGGTGGACTTCGTTGTTTCTCAGGTAGAGCCTGTGAAAGCCTTTACCATCTGCTCATTATGGCTGTCCTTATCCAAAAAGAACGAAAGTATTTTTATAGAACCTGGATAGCAGTGCAAGCTGTTCTAATTTCTGACTCTAAACTGTGGTAAATCAGGTTGAAACGCTCTCAAGAGAAGACCTGGCCTCCAGGTTAACTTTAACAGCTGATGCTGCCTCAGTTGGACCTCTGTTGCTTACAGACTCATTCATTACTATAATGGATGTATGTATTCTGGATTTAATTTGGTCTACTTTGATGCATATGAATACACCAATTAATTGTTTATCAAGTTTGATATACTAATAATGCCTCTAGAAACAAGTGTTTATTTAGGTATTGCATCCCTTGGGTCTAACTTTATTCTAATTTCTTGTTCTCTTTTAGCAACTTTTTCCAAAATTTTCGCCACTTTACTAAAAAAATATTTCATTTTCTATATCTTTTTGGATGATCGTGCCAGTTTTATGCCAAATTCTGGGAGCAGCTTTACAAAGTCACCAGAAAGTTTTCAGAGTTCAGCTCCGTTTTTAAGTGTGTTGATAGCTTTTTTATATGCAAGTTCTTAGTAAGGTTGTCACGCTGCATTCATATCTCACATACAGCGAATAAGTGGCTAACATGGCAAATCACTTGATAAATGTTGCTAGCATCTTCCCAACAATCTTTCTAGGTTTGGAATTATTTGACTTCTTCATCCTAAATTGATGGCTTTAGTTTTGCATGTCTGTTCATATGTCTGAATCCCTTCTGGACCTTTCTTGCAATACGAGTACTTCCATTACAAGACTTCTATCATTTATAAGCTTAATAGGGAAGTTTAAAAGTCTAAGCTGACTGGTCAAATAATTTCTTCTCAACACATATACATGAAGACAAATGACTACAGTGCGATTCCTCAACAACTCAAAGATGAAGTGAGTGAGAGGTACCCTGGTGCAAGGCGAGCACAATTGAAGACTGGGGGAGATTTTCCATTCCTTTCACGGCCAGATGAAGTAAACTTACATCTTCAGGTAAATGGTATTTCTATTTTGCTTCTACGAATCTTTTGTTTGTAATATTTGGTTTACTTGTTGTAGTAGATTTATGCATGATTGAAAGACCTTTATTCCAACTGGTGTTTGCAATGTGGTCAGCTACATCTAAGACGGGTTGGTGTGGAGGCTCGACCTGATTTGGTTCCAGGCATTCCAAAGGGGGGTAGTGGTGGGAGTTCTAGTGAAGAGAATGAGAAAAAAGATCCAGAAGATCCCGCCAACGATGAAGATCCAGCCAACGATGATAGGGGAAGCTCAGACAATCCTTTGGCAGAAAGTCAGCTACCTCATGCTCCAGAAAGTTCACAATCTCATAGCTTAGGTGACCAGCTTGTCAGCAATGCAATAGTTTGCCACTTCAGTAATGTACACATGATGGTTTATTTGCATTCGGGATTCTTGAAGAATCAGCATACTATACCCACTGAAACTGTTATGCGACTTTGTGCGGAAATATTTGCTCTTCATTTGCTTTCTTTTTATGTGGGATCATTGTACATTAGTTTGAACTGTAATCGGAGGGTCGGACAAGTCGTGTAAAGTGTCTTGACATTGTTGTTTCTTGCTTGTGTAATTGTTCAAAATTGAGTACGAATCTCACAGATGTTTCAGCACTTCTTTCTTGTCTTGCACCCTCGCCATTTTCAGTAGTTTGATTATGTGTTTTTGGGGGAATCTCATCTTCACAGGCAAAGGTTGAGCTTATATATTCTGGAGAGATTTGTACGGATTGGAATCCTCTAAAGAGGAAAATCTTGAAAGTACTGAATGGAGGAGGTATTGCAAAATGTTGTTAGGATTAAAAGTGTTGATCTATTGAAATGCTCTGTTTTGCGCAATATTGTTCTATTTAGGAGTTGTAAGATCTCTCAGAAGTTACTCGCAAGCATATTAATTTTCTTTGTCCAATTTGTAGCGATTAGTTTTCTCTTGCATTTCTTCTTCTAAGCAAACTTGTGAATTGGGTTATGACTGAGTCCAAATCAGCTTAAAGCCAAGCGCTTTTGTTGTTCAGATTCATAACCAGCCTTTATTTTCTTGCGTTGCAAATGGCAGGGTCTTAAAGCCTTGGAACCGCATTCAAAGCCGTATGAGAAAGTTAGGCTTATATACAGTGATTTGTTGCATTTTTGTTGGGGGCTTAAGGCAAGAGTGCTTTCAAGTATATAGAAAAGTTTAATGTTCCCAACATGAGGCTACTCTTTAAAGACGCATGACATCAATTTGTGATAACAAAAAACTGAGAGGGAAAAATGGTACTCGTAATGTTCCCTAATCATATGAGCTATTGAGCCGAATAACATCAAGCCAAGAAAAACTACGGCACAATATACGTAAACCAACATTCTATGCATGCATTAATTTATAGATGAACACACAGTCATTTGATTTAATACTTCAAGTTTCAAATTGTGTATTGTTATTTGAAGGACCTTTTACATTTGTTTCCTGATTTCTAAGCTAACCATACCATTCTCCATGTAAAAGACTCACCTGCTAATCCTTCACTCTTCCAGTTCATCACAGATGTTCATGCATTACATTCAAGGCATAGAGTGTAGTAAAACTAACACAAAAATCACTGCACCAGTTTCATGTGCTGCATTCAGGCTGGGTAAGTCGAGTCGTTCGAAAACATTCAAAACCAAGATAAGTTTCTTCTAAACCATTAGTTAGGGGAATTTCATTTCATTGTGTGATCCTAATTGATAATCTGGCAAGAGAATGATACCAACGCCGTCTTCACAAGAACAAACCTTCTACCAAATTGATCATGAACTCTAGAATAACCAAAGAAAAAACATACCAAGTTTTATACGGGCAGAATCAGTCCACACAAAAAACCCGGTAAACCATAATGATGAAGTTGCCTAATTCTGTCATCAAAATATCTAATAAGCAATAACAGTCCGCATGCATAAAATAAATCCAGAACTGAGAATCTGCAGCACTAATGACTGATGTAAAACTCCATGCATCCAAGTCCTGTTATCAGAAAATTGTTTGAATTTGATACATAAAGTTTACAAATGATGAAGGGTTGCCTCAATTGTTTCTCACTTGTCATTTGTTAGGCTTGACATGCAAATGCAATCCAAAAATCAAGAGCAATTCCCGACAGAAAAAAACAAAGATTGAGCACAAGAACCCACAAAATAATCTAGCAAATCCAGATTACATTCCATGAAACCATCAACACTTACATTCCAAACACCTTGAAATTTACCAGTACTGAGACAATTCAATTCATCACAAACAAAATCCAAAACAAACAAACCCTAAAATCTCCATATCACCAAAAAAAGAAAAAGAAAAACATACATTAGCTCCAAATTACTTCCACAAACCACTTAATCAGTCAAAACACACCGTTTCGCTTCTCACTTGGCCACCATTCTGGCAATGAAGTCCTCGTATTTGATCTTCCCATCGGACCCCACATCGACCTCCCGGATCCACTCGTCAAACTCGGATGGTTCCAATTTCTCGCCGATGCTAGTGAGGATGTGCCGGAGCTCCGAGACCGAGACGAAGCCGGTGGAGTCCTTGTCGAGGACCTTGAAGGCGTCGCGGAGCTGGCGATCGAAGGGCTCGGGCTTCATGTGCTTGCCCATGAGGTCGAGGAAGCGAGGGAAGTCGAAGGGGGCCGTGAGCTTCTCCTCGGCGACTATGGATTTGAGTTGGGCCTGGGTCGGGTTGCCTCCGAGCGATCGCATCAGGATCCCCAGTTCCGAAGGAGCGATCTTGCCGTCATTGTCAGTGTCGAAGAGCGTGAACGCCTCCTTCATTGACGATACTTGGTCGTCGCTCAGATCCTTGCCCATTTTTTCCGGGTTCAATTCAGGTTTTCGGGTCTCTCTCTTTGAAACTGGTTTGCTTCTCTTTGATTTGTCTCTCGGAGATGGAGAAATGGTGGAAGGGGCTTTCGGATTTTGAACAAAGGAGACGAAATAATTGGGAGAGCGCTACACGCGGCGTCGTTTTGTGAGATTAGACCAACTGAGTAATAATGTCGTTTTGACCGTTCAGGTCTTTTGCTCATCAAACAAAAATTTATTTTAAGATTTCATTTCTATGAAATTCGAATGTTTGTTTGTTGTTTTGTTTTGTTTTTTTATATAAGCGATATCAGTGAGAGAGGAAATCAAACCTAAGATCGTTATCCATTCAATTTTTTCTATTTTATTAATGTATAATAAGTATTTTTAAAACTTGCCCGTTTGATAACCATTTCAATTTAAATTTTTAGTTTTCATATTTTGTGATAGAGTATAGAAGAATGAAAATGAAGATAAAGATGAGCCGAAAAAAGAAAACCACTTGAAATGGTTATGAAACGGACCCTTAGCTTAAAATGATAGATTTGCCCAACTTCTAACCCAAAAAGGTGGCCCTTTATAATTCAAACCCAATAGTTTCAGTCGATATGAAGTTAGACGCAAGTGGCCGGGCTATGAATATGAGAAGTTATAAATTTTTCTTTTTACTGTTTTGTAAATTTTCTTCCTTTTTTTAATCAAAAGGATGAGATCTGTTTGCTTTGCCGCTCATACGTTTGAAACAATTGATTTGGCATTAACGACCACCTAAAAAATTAATTTGGCGTTAATGGCAAAAGATGATGTGTATTAGTTGTACAAGTGGTGAAGATGATGTGTATTATTGAGGCTACAGCTGCAGGTGAAGCTTTGTCTATGGTGGTCAATAGGGGTTTCAGAAGAGTAATTATGGAATCCGACTCAAAGGTTCTAATCGAGCTGCGCATGTTGCAGCATCGATTGGTTCCCGAGCAGTGCAACTGCAAAGTTGGGCCAATAGGCCACCATCGTCTCTCACTGGTGTCTTAACTTCAGATGGCTTGCCATGTCCCTCAGTGCAATTTGGATACTAGGGTGCTAGGCCTATGGGTCTTTAGTTAATGGTATGTTTCTTTATCTTTGTGCTGAGCTAACCTAGCAAACAGGTTGTGTTTGCAGGTTTCGGGTCGTGTTCGTGTCAACCCATTTAGGAAAGCGAGTTGACACGGCCTGTTAAGCTAGCGGGTGGTAAATATTATACTCGAACACGACCCATTTAAATTCATGAATAACCCGACACAACCCGTTATGATTAATGGGTCGTTTTTTCACTTGTTTCACCTGCTTCACCCATTTCAAAAATAAACTATATATTTTAACAAATTGTTAAATGAAAACACTTCAAATTAGATAAATAATAAAAATAAAGATGAAATCTTTAAATAAGTCTCACACATTTACACATTGGAAAACCCAACAAAAAAACTCATAAACAATATGAGTCTCAATTTAATCTCAATTTAAATAAGTTTCAAATAAAAGGTTAAGGAGAAAAAGAAATAAGTCTCGAATAGCCTCCATGAACATAATTTCAACTTCATCTTTTCACCAATTGTGCAATCTCACTCTTGCTGTAAGGAAAAAAACACAATAGACAAATATGAGAAAGAATAAAATTATTAAGAGATACAATATTAATAAAATATTAATTATTTATCGTTACCTTTCATCAATCATCAAGGGATATTTTATTGGGTGTATTCCAGTCAGTCAGTGCGGTAGAAGATGGGAAGACACGAAGAGATAGTTAGGTTAGCTAGGGATTTTAGAACGTAAGATTGCAAAAATACCCCTGCTCTTAACATGTTAACGGAACATTCGCGAATTATACTGAAACGACCCATTAAGATAACCGTGGTTAAGAGGTTAACGAGTTCACCCATTTTTAACCCGACCAGTTCAAATGTACCCAAATACTAATTTTTTCATGCGAATTAGTGTCGTATTAGCGCATCGTATGCAATATTGCCAAGTCTATAAGCTATTGTATACTAGACCTGCCCTTGGGTTCTGGATTATGTTTTCAGCACTTTTGCATTCCTAGATAAGGCTTTGCCGCCCCTCCTTTCGCTCTCTATGAAATAGCGTTTTCTCGACCAAAAGAAAAAACTAGTCTATTTGCACATTTACCAAAAAAATATATCTTTAATTTCATCCAATATCTTACTTTAAGCTTAATTCGACATATATGTGAATGTAATTATAGAGCTTTCTTCTTGTGCATTTCTAGTTTGATATCATGTTGAAAAATGAAAATTTCATGCTAAAAAAATGAATTATGTTTCCATAGTTTATTCCCCCATACCTAGCTTTCTTCTTGTACATTTATAGTTTGATATCATGATGAAAAATGAAAAAAAAAAATCATGCCAAAAAGATGAATTATGTGTCCGTAGTTTATCCCCACATACCTAGCATGACCATTCAATAGTGCTAAGAATCTTTCTGGGTTCAATAGTTTATTCAATATATAATTAATCTTTTTTTGGTGAAAACCAAGGTATCCCCGCGCGATTGCGGGACTAACCCTCGAGGTACTGTCGGGCGCAAAGCGGGGACCTCTCCCAACAAAGTCTGCTCTATTCACAAGCGCCTGGGATCGAACCCAGGACCTCTTGTTTAAAGGATCCAAGCCCCTTCCACTTGGACCAACTCCTGTTGGTATATATAATTAATCTTTGTTTGAAGCACAAAACATATAACTAAACTAAGTAAATTGATTGGCCCTGTTTTTACATCTTATGATTTTTTTTTTTAAATGTACTGATATGGTACGATCCTTTATTTTGGACTTGTATGTCTTTCAGTTGGGCCAATTCACCAATGCCAAGATAAGATCTTTGCAAATCTATTGGTGGCCCAAAGTAAATTTCAACAAATTCTTGGAAAATCTCTACAGCATTTGCTCATCTCGTCCACCTAGTCATTATGCCACATTTTTTTTTCCTTAAAAAATTCACATAACCCGAAAGAACCGTCTATATTTTAAAAGAGGACTAGACTAGTTTAAACTAGTAAAATATGGATATGTTCTCTAATTTGGAGGATGAAAGATGACTATTCATAAGAGGTTGATGACTAAAACTTATCGCTCATAATTTCACCAATTTCAAGAGAAATTAGGAGGGATAAGTTTTAGTCATCAACCTATTATAGATAGTCCTCATTCTTCCTCCAAGTTAGACAACATATCCATATGATGCCTTCAATGCACATAAAATGCAGGCATTTTTCTAGTCTAGTCTAGTCTAGCCCTCCCTACCAAACAAGCCTTACATTGAAATAAATTAATCGTGTACCATGCATTGATACAAGAATTTGAATTCCTTATTGAGAAGCTTCCATTTCTCATTCCCAAGTTTTTTTTCCCCGTAAATCAAATGCAGCCAAGAATTCAAAACCAAATGTTCTTTTTTCTATCAAGGGTAGAAACGGAATTTGCCTGCCCCTCTCCTTTTCCATCTCATTAATCATGTCGCAAATCGCGGAGGAGTTTTGAATGCACTATGAAAATACATACATCTCAATCAAATGACACTATTTTCTTGGTAAAAAGACAACGGTCACCACCTAGCCTAAAACTTTCTTTCTCTGCCATTTATAATTTATATGGGACAATGCTAAGTGGATGTTAAAAGGTTACATCATTGAAAGTGACGGTACGATAAATATAAAAATGACTTTGCAATTGGCATCCATGTTCAAAGATGTAAACCTACTCGAGTATACTTTGGGTCATTAATTTTTTTTTAAAAATTCATTCTTTGGTTCATGATTGAAGAAATAAATTACACCATCCACTTTAAAATTGTATGTATATACTATAAAAAGAAAAAAAGTGTGTTTTTTTTAATAAAGGATTTGTCGCTCTAGTAGTAGATTACGTCACTCATACACTACATAACCTCACATCCAATACCAAAATTCGAATATTAGCATCCTCTAGTTTGCTATAGCAGCAGGTATAGTAAGCAAAATCATACGAAAAGAAAAGGGGAGGTACGAAATAACCATAGCGGATGCATCGGATGGACGTCAAGTGGTTGATATTATCCCTCCAGGACTGGAACTTCTTATTTCAGAGGGCGAATCCATCTAACTTGATCAACCATTAACGAGTAATCCTAATGTGGGTGGATGCATCCATCCACATTGACTATACTTAGGTTACAATTGGAGAACTTGTCCATCCAAACGTTCCAACTTTGACTGATTATAACATACCAACAAACATTCAAAACTCGATCGTTCCTACCTATTTCCCTGTCTGTCTGTTGGCTGTTGCTGCATTTAATGATACAAATCTTTTATCTATAGATGATGAAGATGATTAATTATTCTCATAAATAAAAAATAAAAAATAAAAAAGAAGATGATCGAAGATGATGCCTTCATCGGTCCAACGGGATGAATGCTACAGATTTGTCGGGTTGCACCTTTATAGATTTATATTAAATTGAACTCTAATCACACCTTTTGTATGTGCTATATATAATCTATGATTAAATAGTATCCAAGGTTAATGAACAGAAATTTATTTGTCCTAACACTATTGAAAAGTATAAATTATCTGTTTGCTGGGACCTAGAGTATCATGTATCACCTAAGTTGAAAAGAAATTTTGGATTTATGTAGAAGAAAATTTACTAATGATTACGTCAACCTATCATTTTAATTTCCTCATTTGAAATAATTTCATTTAATTTATTAACGAGTCTTGGTGAGATTTGTACTCGGAATCTCTTTCAACAAACTACAAATGAAATCGGCATGATAAATGTTTTTTGAATCCACCCATGACTCATGAGGCCATGACCCCAAGTGCAAAATCATGTCGTGTGAATTAGGTTTCCCATTCGGTTGACTATGGAGGCAGTGAGCGAGCACAAGACTATTTAAATTGGAAAAGAATGTCAGTCCACCCACCAGACTATCTTGATTACCTTATTTAATTCCAAGTCGCTCAAGCAAGAATATTTAAAATAGAAATGGAAGGACAAGGACCAGCTCACCAAGAACCTAACTCCCAAAGGACAATGTACCAATGATTGCTTTATGTTTTGAAATTGGAGGTAGCTCAAAATTAGTAACTTGTTCTCATTTTAGCCCGGGAAAGACTTGGACATGTGGAAAAACTCTCATGTGATAATGTGAGATTGCCTTTC